AAGAAAGAAAGAAAGAAAGAAAGAAAGAAAGAAAGAAAGAAAGAAAGGAGGAAGGAAGGAAAGAAAAGAGAGAAAGAAGAAAGAAAAAAGAAGGAATTGATGAAGTAAACAAACATTCAAGACAAAAGTGAAGGCTATTGGGCTGTGGCCCCTCTAAAATCTTCAGGGGAAAGTGTGCTATTGAAGGCTAGTCTTCCAGTCAAGAGCACACCAGTTGGTGACCTAATACCAAATGATCAGCCCTGAACATATACATACACGCAACAGGCAGACTGAGCATGTTGCATTTATGTATTTAAGAATACATGTAAACATGTGTATGCATATATGATGAACGCAATTACAATTAATGAAAAAAGAAGCCATTAGTTTGAAAGAGAACAAAGAGAAATAAATAATGGGAGGGTTGGAGGAAGGAAAGACAAAGGGAAATGATATAATTATATTATAATCTCAAAAAATAAAAGAAAAATTTAACAACTAAAAGAGAAAAAGAAAGTACACATTTGCAAATGTACGGAGATATTGTGTTTCCTCACAAAATAGTTCAGTTTGTCATGATTCTAGAATGTCACATTCTATTTTTTTCCAAAATATATTTACTATTATATCAAAATTAAAACTTCTGGAAAAAAAATTGTTTTTGGTTTTTTTTTTACTTCTTGTTTTTGTTTTGTTTTGTTTTGTGTTGTTTTGTTTTGGGTAGGGTTTCTTTGTGAATCGTTGGCTGTCCTCTTCTCACTTTGTAGACGAGTCTGGCCTTAAACTCACAGCAATCTGCCTGCTTCTTCCTCCCTGAATGCTGAGATTAAATGCATGCACCACCACGCCCAGCTAAAAAAGCAATTCTTAAATAAGACTAAACAATCTCTATTGGGAATCTTAATACATAGTCATTATTTTTGTTTAAAAATTAATTTCTTTATATTTGGTATAAAGTTTTCAACAAACCCTCTTTTTGTTGTTTCTGTGGAAATCATGTAATGTGTGTTGCAGATTTGTTTTAACTTGCATGTTCTTAGCTGTAAGACATTTTTCTGGCTTCATTTTTCTTTATGGTTAGCCTCACTAAACTCCGCTTGTCTTTTCAACCTGACAGGAAGTACAGACGATGAACACTATAATTTAAGGCCTATGCCACAATCAGTCATTATCTGCGCATCACAGGGCTTTGTTTGTACACTAAGCAATGGTAATAGAAGTCTTGGGCCCTTCCTGCTAGTGACTAACCAAGAGAGTTGATGGTCTTGTTCACTGCGAGACTCAGGAGACGCTTCCAGCAGGCTGGAATCATGATTCCATAGGCAAAATTCATTTCATAGACACTTTCTGGAAACTGAACAAAAGGTGATTCTTTATCCATTATGCTTTGGACCTTTCCACATTTATCTCAACAGCCTTTTAATTTATAACTGAGGTTGGTAAAATAATAATATAGTAAATTCAGTAAAATACTTGAGGTAGATGTTAAGTTCAAAATGTAAAACATTTATATGTATATAGATGCTTTATACTTAGTAATTATTAAAAAATAGCCTTTAAGACGTTTTTGAGGCAGAGTTTCACTCTATGTTCCTGGCTGGCCTCAAACTCACATAGACCTACATGTATCTGCTTCATGAATGCTGAGACTAAAGACATGCACCACTAATCCTGGCTAAAAATAGTCTTTATGTATAACTACAGAAAAAAATTAATGTTGCCTAGCTAGATTTAAAAAGACTATAAACTTCGGGGAAGTCACAGTGGCATCAGTGTAACAAAAATCTATTTGAGAAGAACAAATAAGAAAGGTCATAAAAGAGTGGTACAGATGTTAGTTAAAGTGTTGAGATGATACAGATGTGGCAGCATTTTTGGTACCCTACATTAGAAAGAAGAGGGAAATTGAAGGTAGACATAGAGAAGCTAGGATTTGGCTTGATAATGAACGGAGGGAAGTCATTCCAAGTAGATGAAGCAGCAACAGTAAAATGATGAACAGGAAAGGACAGGGATTATGGAAGATTAAGTCTTGGAAATGTGCTGGTACATGTAAGAGGTTAGTCCCAGGTCTTAGTGGCTGGACATGAGTTTGAATGGTAGTCAACATGACATAAAGAAGAAGTTCTAAACTTTACAGTCATGTCATACATAGAAGCATCAGTGTTCCAACTGACTAAAAACAAGTGCATCATGGGAAGTGAGCAGAAGGTATATGTTTATACGACAAAAGATGAGGAAGGTTGGTGGACTTGGCAGACACTTGCTGCTCTTGCGGAGGACCTAAGCTTAGTAGCTCCAGCTCCAGCGGATTCAACCCCCTCTTCTGGCCTCTGCAGACATCTAAACTCACATGCGCATACCCACACACAGGCACACATGCATGTAGTTAAAAATAAAATAAGTTTTGAAAGAAAAAAAATAAGCAAGAAAGATACGCACATGCAGACTAAGGTTAAAAAGAAAGACGAAGTTTAAGAAGGTTATGGCTGAGAAGCACTTACAGAAAGCTTCAACATCCTTTGTCATCAGGGAAATACAACTAAATTCTTTTTTTAATTTAATTTTATTTTATTAATTACATTTTATTCACTTTGTATCCCCCATAAAGAGAAATTCCTATGCAAGTAGCAATTACTAAAAGCGTATTGAATACCCAGAGTAAATAATCATGTCAAAAAGGAATACTGTATGTATAAAGTAGATATTATCAGTTTAAATTTTTTACAAACCATCTCCCAAGTATAATAATTATTTTATTTGATAAGCTTTATTCCATATTATGTTTAAAATGAATGTGTATTAGTAGGTTAATTTTCCTACAAATGCTAAAGTAAGATATGTGTTATAGTGTTTAACAAGATGTAATGAGGTGGCTCTATTATAAAGTGGATGCATATATTATTTTCTACCCTGTGCCTGCTTAATTGATTAAACTTTAAATCATTTGCCAATAAAAAAAAGAAGAAGGTTATGACAAAAAGAAATCAGCTGGATTTGATGATTTATTCACTAAAAATTTAGCAAATACTCAAAGAACACTTATATAATTTAAGGCTTTGTTAAAAATTTAAGAAAACAAGCATTCAAATTAGGTTCAAAGCAGACATGGTTTTGTGAAGATGGTCATTGACTATGGGGGATATACAGTGCTGTTTCTGGCTGAGGGGCCTTCTGGAGCTTTGAGAGCTAGTCCTCAGGGAGAAAACTTCCAGGCCAAGCCAGCTCTAAACCTCCAGTCTTGTGTCTGAAGTGTGTGGTGCCTTCACCACTGCTGGTGCCTTCTGTTCGTCTCCTGAGAGACAGCCAAGAGCAACATCAGTAGCCTACACTTTTTTGTGATTCTTTTGGACCCTCCTGGCCTACAGCTCGAAATGAAATTTCACATACCCGGCACTGGAGGTTTTGTTAAATGACCCATCACTTTTGGGAGAAGCATTGTCACTCCAGGTGATATAATTTTGTTTAAAATATATATAATATAATAATATATAATTATAAAATATAACTATATTATATCATTATAATATTATATTAAATATTATAAAATATTTATTATTTTAGGTAAGCATAAAATAACATTATTCCCGATGGCTTTTCCAAACATTCTTGATGTTATTTGTCCCTCTTTCCCCCTCCCCAGCTAAAGTCCTTCCCCTGTTTTTCCCATTTACCTGTTCATAGCACCTACCTCCTGCTGTCACTCCCATATCTAGAACTCCTCCCCGTCCCTTATGGTCTCTTTTTACTTTCCTGGCTTCTGAGGTTACTTCAGGTTGTAGACTCACATCTAAAGACTCAGAGGTAAGATCCACCAAGAAGAGACACCATGTGGTGTGTGTCTTTCTGGGCAAACTGGGGTTTACCTCTCTCAGTATAGTATTTTGTAATCCCATTAGTGATCTGCAAATTTTATGATTTTATTTTTCTTTATAGCTAAATAATATTTATTGTTTATATGTACATTTTAAGATACATTCATCAGTTGAAAGATATTGATCAATTGAGTGGGGAGGAAGCCCACAGAGAAAGAATCTTTGCCATCTGAAATAAGATTAAGATCCAGAAAATATAAAGAACTCAAAACAGAGTCAAAAAAAAAAACAAATGGCCCAATTAAAAAAAAAAAATGGGTTATGGGTCTGAACAGAGACTTCTCGAAAAAAAAAAAAATCAAAATAGCTAAGATGTATCTTTAAAAGTGCTCAACATTTTTAGAAATGAGGGAAATTCAAATTAAAAATACTTTGAGATTTCATCTTAATCCAGTCAGAATGGCTAAGATTAAAAAAAAAAGCTGATGGCATAGGTTGATGAGGGCGTGGCGACAGGGAACTCGTATTCAGTTGGTGGGACTGAAAACTAGTGCAGCCACTATGAGCATCATTATGAAGAACTCTCGGCGAGCTGAAAATAGAACTCCCGTATGACCCAGCCGTGCCACTCCTTGTCACATGCCCAAGGGACTGACTCAATAGATACTTTCTTAGCTGTGTTCATCTCTGACCTATTCGGAATAGCTAGGAAAATGGACACAAACTGAAAGCTTTTAAACGTGTTATTTTGCTGCCACAGACTAAATTCTAAATCATAAGACTAGAACAAATTCACTTAAAACTAAAAGAAAGGTGTGTGTTTTTAGAATTTTATTTTTAAAAGAAAATCACATTCTTTCTGTTAAGTCTATGTAGCCAAAGAGGGTCACACAATCCTTACTGGAATGCTGCAGGCTATTAGGTGGCCTCTGGAACTGTAGAGTAAGATCTTATTTCTGAAGACACCATAAGCTTGTGTCATAGAACATGGACAAACCTAGCTGCTAGTCAACTGGAAGTTTCATCCCTACTGGCTACATTTCATAATGTGGAAAGATGCTGTGCAAGCTATCTGGGGAGAAAAGTCAACATCAGTCACAGCCAGTTGAACCTTGCAAATCATATTAATAACTGGCCTAGCCAGACATGCCCACTGATGCAATGGGAGCACAAATTTTATGGGAGTAATCAACCACATTTTCAATTGGATTTAAGACTTGCTCAAGAGATGGAACCTATTTACATGGTACTTTCAATAGGGGCTTGTGGCTACAAAGGTCATGGGCCCTAGGAGAAAATCTACTACTATATTATGCTAAAAGGCATAGCACTAAAATGATTCCTAATGGCATCACTCTAGCCATAGATGCACTGCAAACCCTCTTCAGAGAAGCTTCTTTTTGAAATAGGTAGCAATTAACATAGAGACTTCAATTCGTCAATTTGCAAAGCATAAAAGACTTCAGATTGCCCAGCCCTGCATGGGTCATCTATGTCACAAGCCTCTCCTCAATGCTTAGAAACCACTGTGGACAAAAGGATTGAAAGATTCTAACAGCCAGAGGTAGAGCATGGCTTCAGGGAAACAATGTTTGCCAGGCAAGCAAGGCAGATGCACATATGAACCCAGCAGTTGTGACAGCTTGTACAAGACTTGAGAAAGCTGAAGACAGACAAAACCCCAGCATGGAAGAGGGGAAGTGGACATGAGGTCCACACCCTATCTTGAGCTCTTGGTATTTGATTGCTGCTGAGAAAATGTAAGTCACTTTTCTTTAATAGTGAGACACCTGGTCAACCACACTCCAGGGCAGGCCCCACACCCAAGAGTAGTTGGCCAATGCATACTGGACTCAGTGGCGGAAGAGAAAATATGAAGTCTGATGGATGGAGTTGGGAAGAATCTTGGGGGAGTTTTGGGGAAGGAAATAAATATGAGCAAAACATTGAATAAAATTCTCAAAGAATTAATAAAAATTATTTTTTACAGACTCTCTAGGTCAAATGCTTGACTGATATGCATTATTTTATTATATTGGGAAAGAGTTTTAAATTAAATATATTTCTCAGAGTGATGTTATGAATAGAAATCAAATAAATTGAGAGGTAGTTCTACAGTGCCTTGCACATAGTAATAGTTAATTTTCTTTTTGTTTGTTCAGTGGATTCTAGACTGACATATGCAAAAGTTTTCATTGAACTGATCAACATTAATACCATATAAATTTCTGAGACCCTGAGAAACAGTATGCTGGCATGTTTACTTTCTCAGTCTACAAAGGAAAGCTTACTGTGCTACTGCTATTACTAATTGCTATTACTGTGCCTAATAGTTTAACTTTACTTTTAAACAACTATAGCATAATATTGCTATGCAGAATGGGAAAATTGATGGAAACAGCCTGGAAGGTGGTTCACAGCAAGCCCCCTCAACTCCTCCCAACACCCCAGATCCAAGAAGCCCCCCGAATCCAGAGAACATTGCACCAGGTAAGTATGGAAAAGTAAAATTCCTATGTGTTTAAAGATACTACTCCTGTGAAGTTCCATTAAACCGTATTTAAGCGATACAGTTTTTCTCATTAAACATTTTTCATAAGTTTAGGATAAATGTAAGATTTGAGTTTAAAATAATCATGTGAAATATTTCCAATTATTATATATTGTTTCAAGTAGTACATGTTATTTCTTTTTGAACTTTTTATTTATTTATCTGGTGTGTGTGTGTCTTCTGAAGAGAGCATATGGAGGTCAGAAGACAGCTTTCCATAGTCAGGTTTTTGTTTTTTTTTTTTTTTATTGGTTTCTGTTCTCTAAAAGGACTTTATATGAAGTCTGTAAAGCATATATTTGGCTAGGTGTGGGTGGCCCATTACTTTATTCCTAGCATACTGAAGCTAAGGCAGGAGGTTTATGAGTCCCATGCCAGCCTGGGCTACTTAGACCCTGAATCAAAAGAAACAGACAACATCAATAACAACCACACCCACAAATGAAAGAAGAACTGAGCTCTTTAGTTTGTTTTAAAAGCAAATCCTATTCAGTTAATGTGTATTATTTAGAAACATTTTTACATGATGAGATAATCCTTATGAAAATTTGTATTAATTAATTACTAATATTTCAACATTTTTAACTAGGTAGTTAGGGTATGTGTTAAGAACTCCACAGTAATAAGGCTACAGCGGGTACTCAGCTCCTTTTTAAAAATAATTATTTCTTGAGTATAATGTAAAGTAACAAAAGGGCGCATTTAAAAATAATAGTTTTGCTTAAATAAAGATAAATTATAGTCAAGGGGAAAACATAATTTGGAAAAGCAAATCATTAAATCAACAAATGATGATAATAATAATTATTATTATTAATAATAATAAAGTATCTTCTCTAATTTTCTTAATCTTAAAAGAGTCTTTAAAGGTCTCCACTTCAGTTTGTTGCTTCCTGGTGGCTCATAGAAAGGGTTCTTCAAGAAGCACTAAAGGCAGGAAGATGTTAGCTGGTGTTTAGTAACTGAAGGGTGCTCTGTTTATTCCCTTCTGCTCCGTTTCCAAAGGATACTCTGGACCACTGAAGGAAATTCCTCCTGAAAGATTTAACACAACAGCGGTTCCGAAGTACTACCAGTCTCCCTGGGAGCAGGCCATTGGCAGCGATCCTGAGCTCCTAGAGGCTTTGTACCCGAAACTTTTCCAGCCTGAAGGAAAGGCAGAACTGCCTGATTACAGGAGCTTTAACAGGTAACTAACTCAGTTATCCAGGGTGACTCGGTGGATTTGTGAGACCAAGACATTCTCACTACCGTACAGGGAATCGATCCTTAAAAAAAAAAAATCATCCAAGTAGAAACCAAGGCTTCTGCTAAGTCTGAGTGGCCACTCATTTTTGCACTATTACTAATACTCTAAAAAATTTAACTAGTTAATTCACTGAGCTCTCTGTCTCTCCCTGATTGAAAAGCTATGAAGATAACTATCTTGAAAAACAAAAACAAAAAGGAAAATTAAGAACCAAAGCTCAGTTGATGCCACTTTTCTGGGGGCGGTGTTCTCTGGTAAACCATAAAAGGTCTATAGGCTAAGCAAAACAGTTTTGGGTGTGGGAAGATCAGGAACAGGTTAGAATCCTCCGTGGATCAGCCTCGGTGTCTCCATGCTTCCAGCTAGAAACCCTAAGCACATCTCCTTGGAGTAAAGGCAAACAGTAAACCAGCCTTCAATGCCCTCAAGGTTGCTTCAATCAGCAGTGTCAAGCTGGGCAAATGCCACCTCCTCTCAGTCACACAGCTACTACAACTGACGTCAGTCTGTCCAGATGATACAATTTTATACTCAAATCTTCTCTCTATGACTGTTAAGTTTCTATCAGACATTTTTAATGATTAAAACACATAGTATAAATTGACAACTTTAACTGTGTTTTGAAAGATATTAATTCTTTTTTGTTTGTTTGGTTTGGTTTGGTTTGGTTTTTGAGATATGGTTTCTCTGTGTAGCCTTGGCTGTCCTGGACTGACTTTGTAGACCAAGACTGGCCTCAAACTCACAGAGATCAACCTGCCTCTGCCTCCCAGGGGGCTGGGATTCCAGGAGTGTGCCACTATGCCCGGTTGAAAGATGTATTTCTATTTCTTTATGTGGATGATGGCTTTTGCCTGAATATGTGTATGCACACCGTATGTGTACAAGTGTCATGGAAGTCAGGAGATGGCATGGGGTTCCCTGGGACTGCAGTTACAGATGGTTGCGTGTGCCACCACGTAGATGCTGGAAACCTAGTCATCTGCAAGAGCTAAGCCATCTTTCCAGCCCTCAATTTTAATCATGTTAAGGTACTGGCTAGTAGTGTTAACTACACTCACAATGTATGTAACCAAAACCACCATCTCCAAAACCAAGACTCCTGCATCCATATTAGACAATGGTTTTTATCTTCCCTAGTCTCTGACAACCACCACTGTATTGTTTTGCCTTTATGATTTTTACTACTCTAAATATTTCTTGTAAGTGAAATCATATAGTGTTTGTCTTTTTAGACTGGCTTAGTATAATGTCCTCTAGTTTAAATTTTAGTTTGTGTTTATATTACTATAACTCAAATTATTGTCTTCTTCCTGGGGCAAGAGGGTTTATAATTGGGGCAGATATATATATATATAATGCTCTACAGTAGTTCCTAATATATATGGCTATTCCACATGGCTTGCTGTATCTATGTTATGGAAATTTAATATTTTTTCTGTACATGTATCGTATTGAGAAATAGAGATGCGCTTAGCCTGATGAATGAACTTAGTGACATTTGACACAGCTGAAGAGCCAACTGTGATATGACGTAGGACATTGTTCCAGCTGAGATGCGGAGGACAAAGTAAAGAAACCAAAGGGCAAGGTAAGCAGAGGACACATATGCAGCAGCCATGCCTGTCTGTGGGAGCAAGACCCGATGGAGGAATTAAGCAGAAGCGACATGGAAGGATTCATGCCTTTTCACACTTGACAGAAGCCTCAAGAAACACCGAGCAAGCCAAGAAGGGTGAGCAAGACAGAAAGGAGATTTGAAGGTCCGGGATTAAAGTTTCTTTTCAAAGAAGTAAAATCAAGTTGATTTCCAAAGTGAAATGATGGACATCATGAAAAAAATACCTGTAGTGGAGTTTTGGCTTCTTTAAAAACTCAGTTGGGTTATGTAAACATGTTTTTATTTTAATCCCAAGTGTGGGATTTTAGTTTGTCCTTTAGTTTGTCCACAGCTGATAACTGTGGGGTGTAATCTTTGCCCGCTGGAGTTAGTGGAATTCTGAGGACTTTGGGAGAGTATAAATACAAGAGTCCAGAGAGAGCAATGAGATGGAGGGAAGGCTTTGAGGAGTCAGACAGAGGAAGAAGAAGGCTGCTTGTCTGTCATGCTGTGATTGCCCTTTGCTGTTGCTGGACTGCTAGATATCTTGATGACTGAGATTGCTATTTTCCCAAAGAATCTGACATCCCTAACCAGCGGAACTAAGTCTAAAGAGGTCTACATCTCCTGTCCCTTCTGACCTTCTTTCCTTCCTACTTAGGGTTGGGGGTTGGAAGAGAGGTAGAGGCTTTAGGAACCCCAAATACAACATAGTTTAAAAACAGTGCCTACAAACACCTAAAATCATGATATAACTACCAATTTATAGTTCTGTATCCACTAAAGGTATTCTTTAAAGGTCAAAGTTAAATTTAAGAGTTACATATGCATTTTTGGACAGAGACATTTGTTGACTCTTATTAGACAATAAGATGGGAATAATAAACGGAGTTGCTCTTATTCACAGGGCATGATTGTGCCCACAAACATTCAAAAGGGGCTACTGATTAATCACCAGAACTAGAACGTAAATGTGGCAAGAGTGCAGACTACAAGGTCAGGAGTACAGACTACAGAGTCAGCATGAAATGCAGCAGGAACAAATAACTGAAATGTAAACAATGTTGGTAATATCCGCGGCCTGCAACCTATGCTTTGGGTGGCGTCTTTATGTATATGTACCTTTTACTTTTAATGTTTTTAAAAAAATTTTATTTAGAAATTTTCACAAGGACAAAGTAGTCCCAGCAATTATCTCTACTTGTATATATTCAGCATGACAAAAGCCCTTCATTAAATTAGTCAGAATATCATCCAGCCATTTAAAAGAGAAGTTTAAATAATTTTGAGATGTTAAATGGGTTCTTCCCCCATTGAAGGTCAACACAACTTTATTTTTTTCAAACTACTAATGATTTTGAGAATATAATCTGACCAAGAACTTAGTTCCTCGGCTATTATACACATGTTTCAAAAGTAATTTGTGGTATTGTTTTTCTCTTATATTTACCAAATTATTCAACATGCTACTACACAGAAACTTTATTCTGATATAACTTTATCATTATTGTAAAACAAATGGCAAAGGCACATGGGAAGAGACAGAGAGAGGCAGAGAAAGAGAGAAAGGAAGAGGGAGAGGGACAGGGAGAGAGGGAGGGAGGGATTTCCACATCTCAAGTCCTTGAAAGAAGTACACTGCTACAGTTTCACAGCCCCATGTTCTTGGGCATAATCATTAGATGTTAACAAAGCGCAAGACGCAGGCTGATAGCTCTCTGTGGTGATAACGATCATGGGAAACTTGACTCCCAAGGATAATTACAACCTCAAAACGACCAAGCTCTGAATGCAACCTTTTCTTCTCATATTCCTTTTGTATGCATTTAAACTTCATGTTACATTCAAGGTCACGGGACACGTGAGAGCAAGAAAATTCCTGGTTTTACTTCAAATCGCTGTATGTTCTTATGCACAATATTTAACTTAACTTTCTCATCTTAGGACATATTTATGATTAAGGCACATATAAATTTTGGTAGAATAGTTTATTTTTAATTTCTATGCAAGCACTTAAATTACAGAAAAAAATTAACAATTATTATGAGTGTATCATGTACCCAATAGTTTTTACTTTTACAAATGTAACCCATCAGAGTAAGAACAACAACAACAAAAGCATCAATCTGTGAACCTGAACGATACAGGCTTACTATTTACTACATGGGTGACATAATGTGAAAATCGTTTTAACTCAGACCGATTTCTGTAAAATAAGTATTACATAAACTAGAGAGATAGAATTACATTTTAAAAGAAGACTTCAAGCCTTTCCATTGGAAATTTTTGCTGCACTAACTTGGACTAAAGCTTGGAAGTATTTTCATGGACCTAAAACATGTTTCAGGAGGGCTTCCACTCTGAATGCTAATGCACTCTCCTTCATTTGAGAGGATAGTAGAGCCCAAGTCAACAGGATGCGGTCTCAGAGGTGCCAAAGAAAAGAAAACCGTTGAACCGTCAGTGGGAGCTAAGAGATGGATGATGGAACGGAATGAAATATTGTCCTTTACAAGGCAAGAAAATTACTCACCATTTCATAGGACAAAATAAAATGCAAAAAAGAAAACAGCACGCTGAATGCTAAACATTAGCAATGAAGCACTGGGTAGCTCTCCCTTTAAGATTTAATTTAAAAAATACATTTTTTTTTTTCAGAAAAAAAAAACATTTAAAATGAGCAAATTTTATTTCTGGAATAAACATAAAATCACTCAGCCAAATTCAACTAGCTTCAGGAATGTTTAACTCCAGCCCCTTTTACTTAATGGTGTAACCATTCCTTTTTTAAAATGGGCTTATTTATTCACTTTGCATACCAATTGCAGCCCGCTCCTTCCTCCCCTCCCAGTGCCACCCTTCCACCCTCTTCACCCATCCTCCCCAGCTCTCTCTCTCTCTCTCTCTCTCTCTCTCCTGCACTTGCCCTCCTGCCCCTCCACTTCCTGTCCCATCAGGACTGAGTGAGACCTCTTCCACTGAGGCCAGACACAGCTGCCCTGCTAGGGGAAGTGATCCAGTAGCAGGCAACTGCATCCTTGTCAGTGACAGCCTCCACCCCAGTTGATAAGGGACCCACATGCAGCTGTCTATCTGCCCCGTAAGTGTAGGGGCAGCCATGCAGGTCTCTGTGAGCCCTTTAAAGCCCTTTAAAGCCCCGGAATGAATATTTTGTGTAGGTACCCATGTGGAATAGCCATGCTTGGTTCAATGGCTCTATTATTCCTATTTTGAAACTCTGTCTCTCTGTTGGGGACCAACCCTACTCCATTGTACATATTAGGCATGGACTCTGTTATCTTACCAAGACTTCCTGATGAATGTATTTAAGTGGTGCTCT